CAACCACCTCCATTCAGGTGAAGCCGACAAGGCGCCATTTTACGTTGCCAAAAACCCGTGCTCTGAAAGGTCATCGAGCCAATACAATTGGAATTGCGTCTAAACGGATGATCGGATCGAGATGCTGATGGTACCGTTCGACGGGTAATGCTTTGAGGCAGGTGATGATGCATGTCACAGGTCATTCGGTGTCACGTGGCGCGTGCCACGTGCCGACAAAGTCAGGAAGGGCAAAAACCTTTAAGCGACGCTCCAAATTAAACGGTGGGCGGCACAGGTGCCAAATTCACAGGTCACATGTCCCGGTGTTTGACCATTAACATATGGTATGCTCGGCAGCAGGGGGTGCGGAATGCACGCGCCAGGGGCGAAAAACATGTTTTGAGGAGGCATCCTCCGATTCCGGAAAACCTTGACCTAGGCACACCAAATTTGGCACACTGACACGACTGGACGAGCGCTTTAAGGCGCTGTGCAAATAGATGTGCTGGGGTACACGGTGCACGTGCTGTGCACGTGCAAACCTTTTGATGTTGCACTCTGTGTCACATATACGGGCAGAGCGGGTAGCGCTAGCAAGCTCAAAATTCTAAATTTACACAGACCACCCAGAATGTATTCCCGCATAGTTATTGAGCATATCCATCTCCTGGTGGACCCCGAAGGTGCGCTCTGCACGTGCAAAAATTATCCGCGCCGGGCGGTGGGGATGCATGGACACCCCATGTAGGTTTATGTAAATATCTCGAAAACGGCGTTGTGGAGCGCCGCCGTTTTTAGCACACCCTTTCATGCATCTTTTTCACACATGCTGCATAACTTTCAGACCCAGGTCACTCAAGGCTAGGTCACCAGGTTACGTCCAAGTGGCCTTACCTTAGGAAAAGTTATAATGCCCGTCATAGCTACACAGACTGAACAATCGGTCTAAAATGTTGGCAGCGATTACTAAGAGCACCATATATACGTAAAGTACCTCTACCTCGGTAGTTCACTGTCACTGACCTAGGGTTCTGTTGATTTTGCGACCTTTCTATTATAGGTAAGTCAATGGGAGACAATTGAACTGCGCTTCATTTACCAACATAAAAATGAAAAAAAATGAAAAAAAAGATTAATTGTAGGTAGCGCAAAAGGCAAAAGCTCTTGCAGTCTTAACACAAAAAAGTACAATTATAAAGCATTATCGGCGCCTGTAGTGATACTGTACCGCAACAACCATTATCTTCATCTTTCACCCATAGATGGCAGTAGCAGAGCGTCTGCATCTATGCTGTGCCGCAGTGCTTTTACAATACGAACTGAGCATTGAGCAAGTGCGGTGTAATAGGTACGATTATGTGGCGGCCTGGACCGCTGACCGCGGCCAAGAAATGGTTCTAACTTGACTGAGTAGCGGTAAATCAGCATCTGATATTAAGTTATCATTACGAGACCATGCATTTGGCCGGAATTTGATTCGGCGTACGTCGGCGCGCACTAGCTGCGCATTTGCTGTCTTTTCGTGGTTTCAACTCAAGCGTTCAAACATGTGATATGATGCTGGTCACATGTAATATGGTGGGTGTCAAGGTCACGTGAAAATTAGGTCAAGGTCACTGACCTTTAATGACCTTGGTTCACCTTTTCGAGTTTTACATGTTTCTAGGACAGTTTTAGGAGCTGATTTCGAATTTAGCACTCAGTTTAACATTTCAGAAGTTATAGTTTCATTGCCTTCGTAACATGTTACGACGCCATCAGTGGTGGTTGACACCTACTATGGATAAGCGGCAGGACACCTACTGGTTGACCTGACCTGACCTGACCCGACCTGGCCTAAATGCATGAAAACATCAGCTGTGATCAAAACAAACATGACATTCCTGATAAATGACCCGTAGAACTCGCAACAACCTCAATTTACGAAGTCAAAAGTGTTAAGTATCAAAAGTGTTTTCAGCGCTCTTGCATGTCTCTACCAAAGGTTACTGTCAAAATGTTGTGGATGGCTGTCATGACCTGAAATAACCCCAGGACATAAGTAGAGGTCACAGGTGCAATTTCCCGATTAAATATGTCACGTTTCCCTGCTACCCGTGTTCCGTTATTTGAGTGCATTGTTAAGTATGTTAATATGAGTTTCGTGCAACAGAAGCGCAGTTCAATTGTCTCCCATTGACTTACCTATAATAGAAAGGTCGCAAAATCAACAGAACCCTAGGTCAGTGACAGTGAACTACCGAGGTAGAGGTACTCTACCTACGTATATATGGTGCTCTTAGTAATCGCTGCCAACGTTTTAGACCGATTGTTCAGTCTGTGTAGCTATGACGGGCATTATAACTTTTCCTAAGGTAAGGCCACTTGGACGTAACCTGGTGACCTAGCCTTGAGTGACCTGGGTCTGAAAGTTATGCAGCATGTGTGAAAAAGATGCATGAAAGGGTGTGCTAAAAACGGCGGCACTCCACAACGCCGTTTTCGAGATATTTACATAAACCTACATGGGGTGTCCAAGCATCCCCAACGCCCGGCGCGGATAATTTTTGCACGTGCAGAGCGCACCTTCGGGGTCCACCAGGAGATGGATATGCTCAATAACTATGCGGGAATGCATTCCGGGTGGCCTGTGTAAATTTGGCACTTTGAGCTTGCTAGCGCTACCCGCTCTGCCCGTATATGTGACACAGAGTGCAACATCAAAAGGTTTGCACGTGCACAGCACGTGCACCGTGTACCCCAGCACATCTATTTGCACAGCGCCTTAAAGCGCTCGTCCAGTCGTGTCAGTGTGCCAAATTTGGTGTGCCTAGGTCAAGGTTTTCCTGAATCGGAGGATGCCTCCTCAAAACATGTTTTTCGCCCCTGGCGCGTGCATTCCGCACCCCCTGCTGCCGAGCATACTATATGCTAATGGTCAAACACCGGGACATGTGACCTGTGAATTTGGCACCTGTGTTGCCCACCGTTTAATTTGGAGCGTCGCTTAAAGGTTTTTGCCCTTCCTGACTTTGTCGGCACGTGGCACGCGCCACGTGACACCGAATGACCTGCATGACATGCATCATCACCTGCCTCAAAGCATTACCCGTCGAACGGTACCACCAGCACCTCGATCCGATCATCCGTTTAGACGCAATTCCAATTGTATTGGCTCGATGACCTTTCAGAGCACGGGTTTTTGGCAACGTAAAATGGCGCCTTGTCGGCTTCACTATCTTCCATGGGAGGTTCATTGGGATCGTCAGTCCAGTTTATTTATACGTCCGTGATGTAAACCATCAATTTTAGTCTAGGCATCTTTTGACCGTCATGCAACAAGCTATTGGTCCCGAACATGGATGCGAACAATGATGCTGGGATCAACAGGGATCATGTATTATGAGCCAACGATGTATGCTATTTAAGTTTATTTATGATTGCTTGAAAATATCATAAGACGAGAGAGCGCTGAATATCTTCGCTTATTTGAAAGGATACGCCAGTTTAGCTTAGACGTTCCTTTTATTTTCAATCATGTCTTCGAACTCGGCAGAACGACTGAAAGTCTGTCTCCCCTGACTTTTAGTTGGCGTTGTATCACCGTTTTCTTGGGATCACTGATCAGGCACTGCCAGCTCGCTGGCACCGGTTCAAAGCTTTGGAGGCGCCGGTGATTGGTGGGCACCAACGTCCCCCACACCACCGCACCGACAGCTACTAAAGCTGCTGAATGTAGTCAGGCATCGGTAGGATTGTGATTGCAGGATTGCAAAATCCTGATTGCATTCCTTTTTGGTGGATTGCACCTGGATTTGAAATCCATTCCAAAAAACAGGATTTGATTGCGGATTGGATTGCATCATACTTCCAATTTTTGCAATCCAATCCGGATTGCGTGTTTTGGTGTTTGATAAGTGACTTGAAATGGTTTGTTGCGATTGAAAATTGTGAGATCGGCTTCATCGGCTCAATGTACTTTGCTATCAAGGGCTTTACATCGAAACTTGAAATAATTTAAACGCTTTTAATTTAAACGATCAAAATAATATACGCTGATGAACTACATAGGAAGGGCAAAATTACGTATTTGAGGGCGAGTTTTAAAAATATGAAACACTGGTTGGGTAGAGGTTTAAATGTGAGGGTGTTTGAGGCAAAAAATATTTCCCATAAAATACCTGTGCCTTAGATAGGAATTACTCGCAAGACTAGGTACTAGAAATGGGTGATTTGGGGATGGAGGCACGGCCCTATGCCCCCCTCTCTCCCCCAGATCCACTAGTGCACATAATAATACAACAGGATTGCAAAAAAGGATTGCGGATTTGATCACAATCCAAGTGAAAAAAGGGGATTGCGGGTAGGAATGCAATCCACTTCGGCACTAGGAATGTGGATTGGGAATGCAATCCTTTCAAAAAGGATTTTACCGATGCCTGAATGTAGTCATGCTAGAGATGTTATGAGTAGATGAACATCAGCCGCTTATCGAATGCCGTTCTCAGGAGGGTATTCTGCACGATTGGTGTTTCCAGGCTTGCTGGTTGACAAGCTGATCCCAGCTGTCAAAATGTGGAACAAAAATGCAGCTAAAACAGCTGGGACGCCTATGCAGTTATGAAACTCGATCAATGTTTTATCGTAATCCATGAAATGAATGCGAGCTTCCGAGTTTATATCTCGATGCATACCTCCTCTTATATCTCCTCTTACTCAAAACCGTCTTTTTGACTTCTATTCCTCTTACTTCTGCTGACACCCGCCCCACGGACTCCCGTCCCGCTGGCTTCCATTCCATTGACTCATATACTGGTCCATTGTGTCCCGTCCCACTGAATCCTACTGACTGTTTCCTTGTCTCCCACCAACTGACCGGCGACTTAACCGTCCCAATGACTCTGTTCCACTGACTCCGTCCCTCTGACTCCATCCCTCTGACTCTCAGGCGCGCCACGGGATCCCGTCGGTGGCCCACCAGCGGCTGACTCCCGTCTCGCTGAGTCCGTCCCTCTGACTCCATCCCTCTGACTCTCCAGGCGCGCCACGGGATCCCGTCGGTGGCCCACCAGCGGCTGACCCCCGTCTCGCTGCCGGCCTACTCGAGTCCGCTGATGCCGTACCTGCTGATGGACGAGGATGACGTGGTGGTGCTGCCGCGGCGCCGCACTCTGGCCAGGCTCAGCGACGAGCTGGACGACGACCCCGTGCTGAAGGTGAGCGGCGCGGGCGATGGTTTGTGGGAGAGGAACAGGCGATAACGAGAAGCCTTGCATGAGAGCTAACACTTTTTGCTGAATACCGGGCGGTTTATTTCTTCTGCTTCAGTCATCTTTCGCTCATCATTTTCAATTTTGGATTTATTTTTGAATGGTTTGGACACTCGAGAAGCACAACTGAAGCATCTCGAGGGACAAAACACTAAATTCTCGATTTTCTTCAGCCTTTGCCGCGCCTCAAAGTTAACTTTTATCAACCTATTCGCTTTTGCCACTGACGACTTTTGCATACCTGTTGGGCTCTGCTGCACAGTCTATTTGAAGCTGCCCCTGTTAACCCCGCTGATGTCCGTGCGTGCACGTGCAGCGTTTCTCCGGCTCGTGTCCCAACTGCTGCGCCGTGGCCAGGCCCGTCCAGCAAGTCACAGTCGTGGCCCGGCCGTCGCCGAGGCTCTATTCCGTGCCCTCCTATGGACCCTTTGTCAGTGGGGAGGATGAACTCAGAAATGTAAGTTTTACGACGGGTGACTTGTGGAACGATAGGTTGACGCAATAGCAAGGTTGCATTTCAGGTTTTGATTTTTTATGAATACATACCTATTTGTGCCTGTTTGTTTATTGTTATAAATAGTACCTATGTATTATTTGAATTGGGTTTTTGGACATGATATTTGTGATAATCAAAGTATGAACGGTGGGAGATCACGGATGCCCGTCTGACTCACTAAGTAAATTCACTGCATTGACAGCAGGCGACTGTCTTCAGCAGTTATGACTGAGCTTTCCCTTTCTGAAGCTGCTGCGACTGAGCGCGGTCGGTTGGGTACTTTTTCAATGTGCATTTTCGGTCTGTGTTTCTCTCCCTCTCTTCCCCCTCCCTCTCTCTCTCCTCTTTCTCTCTCTCTCTCTCTCTCTCTCTCTCTCTCTCTCTCTCTCTCTCTCTCTCTCTCTCTCTCTTTCTCTCTCTCTCGCTGCTGGGACTGAGCGCGGCCGGTGGCTGTGTTTCAGTGGTACGAGGACCGGATCCACCACGCCCAGGTCGAGGCGTCCTCCATCGCCCAGTCGCACATCAACGACCTCTGCACGCCCAAACTGCGCCACATCTCCGTCACACCCATGTACACGCCCAAGTGAGTGTCGCGGAGCGCACATTGGAGGCCGCCAGACAAATCACAGATTGTAAAACTACCGAATACGCCGTGCGCAGAACATTCCCATCAGTAAAAATCAAGGAATTCAGTTTCAGCCTCACTGCCCGCGCCGCCCCGCCCCGCCGGCCGGTCGGACTGACGACTCGAGCGCCGGTGAAGCCCCGTCGGAGGCGCGTCACGTGCCGCTCCCAGTGGCAGACGACGGCCGTGACGCGTGCGGCGCCGGTCGGCCGTCTCACCACAGTCGGCATGATGGACCCGATATGGTTTCGTTTCACGAACGGTCGAGCTAAATGGATCAATGGGAGCACTTTTACCACCGCTCGAGAAAATCCGTCCGAGAAAATGTTCCTACAGATTGCTATGCCTAAAGATGGGTTCCATGGGATTGCAGCTCGTCACTTACTTTTCAATTGCATTGTTATAGATTCATAGCAAACTACTCAGTACTTTAAGCATTTTGCCACCGTTGAAACCGTGGGACAATAAGCTCGAAAATCAAATGATGAAAAAGATAATCTTTCAAAGCTGGCGGACGGTCGTCGTTAAAGGAAATAAGTTTTCTAGTGCTTTGGTCGGACGTCGTTGGTCGAGTCTAGTTTGCTTTATTATACTTTATAGCCTTTCTGGGAAGAGTGATATAGATATTTTCGCTTTGACGGCTTGATTTAAGCCGTTTTCATGACGGGCTATCCGGCGAGTGCATCTAATTTGACCAAATCTGCACCTAATCTCTTTTACAGCAAATACCTTCATTTTATGAATTTATTTCAGTGTTTTAATCGATGATGGGACATCGATTGCTGTTTATATGACAAAGCAGGCATATAAGCAATTAGTGCAACCCTAGCTGATAGCTACTAAGAGACACACTGAACCTAACTTGACTAAATCTGCACCTAATCTGCACCAGACGTGCACCAAATGTGTACCAGATGGCCGTCGTGAAAACAGCTATTCTCTCTGATCGTTGTGCTCCTCTGACTGTGACTATCCTCTGACCCTCCCCGACCTCACGGAGCCGGCCCTGTTGGCAGTTGGATGTTCCCTCTGACGGCTGTGTCCCTCTGACTGTGACTCGTTTCTCACGGAGCGTCCTGCCGTCCAGGCTGTACCCAGAGCCGGTGGCGCCGCGGCTCGCGCAGTACACGCGGCACCGGTCCAGGGCCGCCGCCGACCCCCTGAAGCCCGTCAGGAGGAACATCGAGCTAAAGTCGCGCTTCAACAGCGCCAATGACGCCGCTCAGAACACGTATAAACGCATGGGTAAGGCAGACACCGAGCAACAATGCATCTCATATCTCTCGCTCTGCTGTCTTCTATTCTAATGCATATATTTAAGTGGCCATTTTTCTATCTTAACCAGTTTCTCCACCGTAAATCATATAGGTAAAGCATGTTTATTAACCCGCGCGGGGCTGGGGTCTCCAGCCGAACGCGCGGGGCTGGGGGGGGGGGGTAAATTTTACCACCCCCCCCCTGTTATCTCCCGAACTAATGGTCCGATTTGGAAAATTCAAACGCAAATCGAAAGATCTCATCACGAACAACTAAAAACATGTACTTAATTTTAAGTTTGAGGTCAAGGTCAAGGTCAGGTCAAGGGTACAAATTGCAAGTTCCTACAGTATCGGCCTTGCACCGTAGTTGCCGAAGAATGGATTCATGGACTGAGACTGATCGCCCAAAACGTGTTCTTAGGCTACCAAGACAATATTCGTTGCATACAATATCATTCAGAGGTCAAGGTCAAGGTCAGGTCAGGTCAGGTCAGGTCACCAAAAACAAAATATAGAAAAGGGCATGTGCGACACATGTTTTATGGGTCATTTTACTCATAGAATTCAATAGGCACACTCAATAAGTGATATGGACCACCTCTGGATGAATTTCAGGTCGAGGTCAGGTCAAGGTCAGGTCAAGTGAGGTCAAATTTTGAAGTTGGTTGCTAAGGCCTAAAAAGGTGTCTATCTGATGCAGTTTTTCACGGCGAGTCGAATGGTGCTATTTTTGTTTCCGTTCGAGGTCTAGAACTTCTAAAAAAGTCATTTTTCAAAAATTTTGTGTGTCGTGACGTCATATAATTTTGAATAACTCCCACATTTTTGAACCGATTCTTCTAAAACTTAGTATGTAGGTACACATAGACCACTTCTCTGACATATATTCCGGTTTTTTCGATACACTCAAAATTTTGGATTTTATAGCTATTTTCCCAAAAAAGTCAGTTTTTTGGAAAAATGTGGGCCAAAATCCAAAATTTTCAAAAAACCGAGATAGCCATTTGATAGCCAAAGTAGAATTACGTATATCCTTTTTTGTTACGTCTTGATTCCTTTAAAAATGAAGATGTTAGCGGCGTTTGAACTTTTGCCGTTTTTTGAGGCGAAAATGGCGAACATGACGTCACTAAAACGTCAATTTCTCAAAAATTTTCCGACGGATTTCGCTCAAATTTTCAGGGAACGTGTCAAATTGATGTAAGAAAAGGTACTGAAAGTTTGGCGGCGCTGCGCGCCGCCGTTTTTGAGATATTGCAAAAATTCGCGAGGGGGGGTAAAATTTACCCCCCCCCCAGCCCCGCGCGGGTTAATCGCTGGAATGACGGTAACAATTAAGCACATACATATATCTGATTTGTCATTCTCGTCTTTTCTGTCCAAATCTACCTACAATAATTACAAACCAATGGTGATATAAAACCACTCGGTACTTTTTCTTTCCGCACAATTCGCATCACCAACGCCCACTGCACATATCGCCTGAAGGACTGCCTTCAGACTGCGCTATATATTTTGCCTTGCATAACGTCCTCAGCTCTCCATGCATCTTTTCTTTTCAGTTTGCAAATATTACATTATTTCACCTTTATTGACAAAAAGGGTATTTGACAATCTTTTGCGCCTGGACTGTGTCCTGTTGCGCCTGCTGTCTCTCGCTGCCGCCTACTAACCGGCCCGTCCTGCCGCGCCGCCCTGAAGGCTCCGGTCACCTGGCCTGTCTGAGTCTGCTCGGCGGCCCGGTGGTGTCCAAACGCACCCACTCGCGCTTCTACAACGGCGAGAGGGTGCGCTCCGAGGACATGGCCCAGCGCCTGCTGCCGTCACCCCGCGACGACCCCAGCTCGCACCGGCGAAGTGAGCGCACTGTGCCGCCCGGCCGGCCGCTGTGCCGGCCGACTGGGCAGGTTGTCGTACCATGTCCTTAGTAAAGTTGTACATACATAGGAAGTATTTCGAGCTATTTAGTTTTCAGTCTCTTCCAAGCCACGTAGATAAGGAGATCAGAAACGAGGCATAGCTCAGTGGCTATTATTGCCCACCGTTGCAAGCACCAGAGTACGTAATGCATTCATAATTTGTGCTGTGTGCGTGCTGTACGTGCACCTGTAGTTGGCCATGTCTGTCTGTGTGATGTAGACGATAGCTCGGTAATCCAGTACCCCGTACTCGGCTCGACGGCCGCTCAATACTGATATCCTTCAATGACGTCACGTTCCTAGGCGACAGCGCTGATCCTGCCGGTCGGGACTCCGAGGGCGAGGCAAAACCGGCGCAGCCAGAGTCAACAAACGGTCTGACCAGTACGTAATCTCCGCACACCTGAAAATTATCATTAAAACGACATTACCATATTTACTGAATTTGTTTCATGTCAAGGAAGACACAACCTTATGCCCTTTATTATATTTTTATTTGTATTTTCACAGACGGCGAAAAAGCAGAGCAAGAAGAAGAATAAAATTATATTGAAACGATGAAGAGCAAATCTATCAGCCGACGCCGGCCGTCATCAGATACATCAGAAATACGCTGCTTATTGTGGTCATAGATGTTTATTGGCATCGTGAAGCATCGCTTATGCTAAAAGCTCTGTCACCTCTCTGTCTTTGATTTACTATCGCTTTTATTCAGTCTTATGTACGTCAAAATGCTTTAATAAACTATAAAATGTCCTTCCTCCTCTGCGTATGAGTTCTTCAACGGCAGAGACAACACGTGATGGACCCCGTATTATCGTAGGCGTAAACCCAAGAATCCCAGGCAGCCTGCAATGCACGTGCCCAAACACTAGCCCAGAAGCGATGAGACGGTTTAGCGTTTCTTACAGCTGAAAATGTCTGAATTCTGATGAAGCAGGAGCTCCTGAAGTGCGGCTAAGTACTGAGAGGTAAGGGCGTGAACATATAGAATGCTCTTGCACCAACACTGCAGAAGACCCAATTGCATGCAGCTGCCCGCCCTCATAGCTGTCCAAATAGAGTAGTTATTCTAAGGACTGGTGCATTTAAATACAGACGTATGACTCGCTGGAACCGCGCACAAAGCTTTTTTTTGTCCGCGCGTACTGCGTAGGCATCAAATGTGTACAAATTGCATAACTACATATTACGTCGTATGTGCAAATTATATTTTTTTATTGCGAAATACCGTTATTTAACTTTGCGAGACGTTTTTGCTAGCTCAAGTCGACTGTGCAGCATAATATCCATGTGTATAATACCAATGCTATGCTCTTAGCACCAGTCTCAAAACTTATGTACATATGTATTTTCATCCATATACGGTGCCTTCAGGTTTCACGGGTCCTTGTGGCTGAATCATCGACAGCATACTTTGCTTTTTAACCTTCCAGGCGGTGGGGGGGCATTTTTTGCCCCCCCCCTTTAGTTTTTTCGATATATCTCGAGAACCGCTGCGCCGATCGTCACCAAACTTTCAGTACCCTCCCGGGAGTAGCTAGCGCACATGGTGACCAAAAAATTTCCAAAGGCTATGATAGGTTGGCCGCTAATGACGTCAGAGTGACGTCATTTCTGCCATTTTCGACCCAAAAAAAGGTTTCGCGGGAAGAGCTGTCAGGCCTACAGCTTTTGAGATACAGAAAAATGTTTCGACATAAAAGGTGTGGAATCAAAAGGGCTACAAAACTGCTATTTCGGTTTTTCGAATTTTTTGGATTTTGACCCCCAAAAACCAAAAAATAGATTTTTTGAAAATAATAGCCGAAAAATCCAAAAAGTTTTTTGAATTTCGAAAAAAACCGGAATATACGTGATAGTCCCTACCGCTTTCTATCTCCATACCAAATTTGAGATCGATACCTCTTTTTTGGCCAAGTTATTGCGAAAAAACTGTTCAAAATTGATGACGTCAAATTTTCAAACTGAATTTTTAGCAATTCTAGACCCCGTAGCGCAAAACAAAGACCACCATTAGACTTCCCGTGACGAGCTGCATCGAATCAATACCCATTTTATGCAAAAATATCAACTTTGAAATTTGACCTTTTTTGACCTGACCTTGACCTGACCTCCACCAGAAAGTGACCTAAACCGTACATGATGGTCTTATAACCAACACCATTGAGTTGAAAATGAAAAACTGGCCATAAAACATGCATCGCACAACCTTAGTAAAGTTGGGTTCATGTGGTGACCCTTGGTGACCTTTGGTGACCTGACCTGTGACCTGACCTGGTATGACCAGTGACCTCTACTAGCAACATATGTGCTAGACAACTGACGCCTTATCGCTGATTTTCGACAAAATGCGTTTTACTCGGTGTTATAGCGCTTTCCCTAGAAGCCCCGTGAACGGTGAAACATTTTATCTTTGACCTGACCTGTGACGTCATCGGTGACCCCGAGGTCAATGAAATTTGGTTTATCTCAGCAAATTTGACAGGGCTATCGAACGCCGTTTGAATTTTCCGGATCCGTCCAGTAGTTTCGGAGATACGGGGGGGGGGGGGGGGGCAAAACAAAATCCCCCCACCTCGCGGAAGGTGGCCGGGAGGCCCACCGCCTGCCGGGTTAAAACGACTTCCAGCTTATGCTCATTGTATGCCTCTGTGCGATCAACCTATACCGACTGTGCATGATTTTGCCGGTTGTCAATTGAATCACCAGAATCTCCCTTGAGCTGCACAGCGACGGTGGCTCGATTGTAACGCTTCAGTGAGGACTTTTTAGCATGGATGCTGGTGGTTCGATTTTAACGAATCAAGGATTTAACAAATCAATTTAACGAATCATATTTAACGCCCCACATCTAACTCGGCTTCTGGGTCACGTAGCGATCCCCGCGGCAATGCTGGCGTATGCTGCCCGTGACGACAGAAAACGGATGGTATCCAATTTTAAGGTCCTCTAGGCCATTGGTTGACCTTGCAGGTCAGGCCAATGGCCTAACAGTCGGTGAACTCTGGAACTGCTAGAACTTTTTAAAGTGAGACCATTATGAGGTTTTCGTGGTCTTAAGTTTGAATTTCATATTAGTTTTGTACGAAGATAATATACTTATTCATGCATTTGGGGTAGGTTGGGTCAGGTCAGGTCCGGTCAGGCGTCCCGCGCCGGCTATCGGTATAAACCACTAAAGACATCTTCGTTGCATCTGCACAAAAACTGCTCAAATATTCAAATGAGTACTAAATTCGAAATCAGCTAAAAACCTATCCTGAAGTCATACCTAAAACTAAAACTTTCAGCTGAGTTCACCAAAGGAAGTAATTTTGAAGTGACTTTCAACTTTCAAGTGACCTTGACGCCCATCATAATACAAGGGACAAAAATGTCACATGCTGCAAGTTTCTAATAACAAAAAAGTCAGTAAGCTCATGGACACTGTGCACAGACACATGCCGAATCGTAAATCCGACATGACATGGTTTCGAGAAACAGGTCACAGGTCAAGGGCCATATGAGTCAGAGTCATGAACTTTTCAGGGTAGGTATGGGTAAAATTCATAAACTGGAGGGTGCTCAAAGCTTAGTTGCGATCGATCGCTTTTTTCGAGATAGTTATATTCGCGACCCTTTTCCGAGACGTGTCAAACGCCAACTTTTTTTCTAAAGAAAAAAATGTCTGTACCTGTTTTACCGCATCATGACCCTGCCCTTTACTAAATGACCCTGCCTGATTAACCCGATCTGTGCTAAACTGCCGTGTTTAGACAAAGCCGCATTTTATGGCGATCACGGTTGCCGACCACTGTGTTTACTCGCAGCGTTCTGCCCCGCCTCCCACCGTCCCTCCCCCTGCCCCGGCTCCCACCGTCCCTCCCCCTGCTCCGCGCTCCCACCGTCCCTCCCCCTGCTCCGCGCTCCCACCGTCCCTCCCCCTGCTCCGCGCTCCCACCGTCCCTCCCCCTGCTCCGCGCTCCCACCGTCCCTCCCCCTGCTCCGCGCTCCCACCGTCCCTCCCCCTGCTCCGGGCTCCCCCCGGCTCCCCAGCTCCGCCGGCCCCTCTATGACGTCATACCATGGCTATTTCTGGCGTGCGGCGCGCAGCGCGCGTCCGTTGTCGGCTGCAGAAAACTAGTCTGAAAAGGTGCCGGACGCCGCGCTATGAGGGCCGGTCGGTGCGAGAGACTCGTCCGCGGGGGCGGGGGGGGGGGAGCGCAATATATGAAATTATTTCTCTGGTTGCGTCGTACCTTTTCTATTGCAAGTGCAATGGCAATTGCGTAAAAAGAGAGAGAGAGAGAGAGAGAGAGAGAGAGAGAGAGAGAGAGAGAGAGAGAGAGAGAGAGAGAGAGAGAGAGAGAGATGAGCAATGAACAGAGTGTATAGGATGTACATAGAACGTAAACGCCAGGCGATTTTTTATAAGCCATGGTGATCGGTGTCTGCGGTGATCGATAACACTTGGCATGAAGCAGACGCGTTACTGGCATGAAGCAGACGCGTTGCTGTATATACCAGCAGATTGAGGAAGAGGGGCAGACTCTAGACAGCACTCTCCCATGTTTTCAATATTTTATTAACAGTGAAAAGTATCGAGCAGAAACAGCAGAAACTTCAAGTAACTTTGGCTGCATCAATTTGACACCTTGTATTCAAAGGAAATTTTCGTAGCTACTATAGGTCGACCAAAAATAACGTCAGATTAACCTTCCAGGCGGTGGGGGAGGGGCATTTTTTGCCCCCCCCCCCATTAGTTTTTTTCAATATGTCTCCAGAACCGCTGCGCCGATCGTCACCAAACTTTCAGTACCCTCCCGTGCAGGGGCGTCGCCACGGATTTTTGAGTGGGGGGGTCGGGTTTCCGGTGTGCGACTTGATGGGTAGGGGTGTTTTTAGCCACACTCCCGGTTTTTTTCGTGGGCGCGGAGAAAAACCTCGGCGCGCAGC